GGAGCGTGGGCGCCGCTACCCGTCGCGCTCCTGCAGGTAGCGGTGCCGCAGGGCGCTGTAGGCCGAGATGCGCTTGTACGGGTTGAACGTCAGCATCTCCTGGGGGGCACGGTTAGCTGGCTGCTCGGGGGGGGACATGCACCCCTCGGGGGGCTGCGTGGGCTCCCCCACAGCCCTGGGCACAGGGGGGGCCGCCAGCCCCCCGTGTGTCCCCTCTGCCCCGTGTCTCACCAGGAGCAGCTGCGTCCCCAGCGGCTCCATCTCGGGGACGAAGCCCTCGACGGGCTGGGGGGGCCGGGCGGTGAAGGCGCCGCGGGGCAGCGCCACGTCCAGCGGCCAGTCGTCCTCCACGGGCAGCCCGATCATGCTGGGGGGGACGAGGAGGGTGGCAGGTCCCCCCTGACCGCCCCCCTCCCCAAACCCAGGCACTTACTCAAAAATCTTGCCCAGCTGGTCGGCCTCCGAGTTACCGCAGAAAAGGGGCCTGGGGTGACAAGGGGGTGTAACGAGGGGGGACACTCCACAGCCATCACCCACTGGTGTCACACAGCCCCCCCAGGGGCCACGGTGGCCATGGGCACACGTGGCCCCTGACCCTGCCCTCGCTCACTTGCGCCTGAACATCTCGGCGAAGATGCAGCCCACGCTCCACATGTCCACGGGCGTCGCGTACGTCGACTGCAGCAGCACCTCGGGCGCCCGGTACCACAGTGTCACCACCTGCATGGGGACGGGCCCAGCGTCACCCTCCCGGACAGAGGGTGGCACTGAGAGYGGCGGCCACCCGGCCCCACAGGAGCCCTGTGTTTGTGGCCACCGTGGGACCAGCGGCTTTTGAGTTCTAGGTCCCCAGGAGCTGTGGCCACCCTGTCCCCAAGGCCGCCCCAGCCCTAGGGACACCTGGGCCTGGTGGCTTGCTAGACCCCCAGCCACAGGGACCTCTGAGCATCCCCAGACGCGGCCGCCCTGCCCCACGGTGGYTTTGTGGGTCACCCTGACGTGCCGCTCCCTGGACTGGTAGCCCCATGGCCAACCCAAACCCTGGCCCCCCGGCTCCGTGGCCACCTGAGCCCACCGCTGCCTGCATCTGTGGCCACCCAGAACCCCATGGATTTGTGGTCACCGACCCCCCCCAGCCACCAGCATCGCGGTCCCAGGGTCACAGCCCTGCAGCCCCCCGGCCCCTGCGCCCCCCCSGAGCCACCCACCACGGGGGTCAGGGCCATCTGGCAGCTGTAGATGCGGGCCAGGCCGAAGTCGGCCAGCTTGACCTGCCCGCTGCTGGTCACCAGGATGTTCTCGGGCTTGAGGTCCCGGTGCACGATGCAGTTGGAGTGCAGGAAGTCGAGGCCGCGCAGGAACTGCCGCATGAGGTCCTGGGGCGGGGAGGCCGCCGGCGTGAGCGGCCCCGCGGCCGCCCGCCCGGTCCCGCGCCGGCCCGCGCCCACCTTGATGGTGTCGAGCGGCAGCCCGGGCGCCGGCGCCTTGTCCAGGTAGGTCTTCAGGTCCTGGTCCACGTGCTCGAAGACCAGCGTCACCTTGGTCTCGCGCTCCGTGCGCGCCGTGGCGCACACGTCCATGAGCCTGCGCGGGCAAAGGGGAGGGTGGCGGGGCCGCGCGGTGGCCTCGGCGGGGTCCCCGGCGGCGCCCGCGGGACTCACCGCACGATGTTGGGGTGGTCGAAGTGCTCGAGGCGCTTGAGCAGGGCCACCTCGCGCACGGTGCTCAGCGGCAGCCCGTTCTCCGTCGTCTGCACCCGCACGTTCTTGAGCGCCACGAACTTGCCGCTCTGCAGGTCCCGCGCCTTGTACACGGTGCCGTAGGCGCCCACGCCGATCTCGGCCACCGGCTCGTACTGCGCCCGCACCTCCTTGGCCATGGCGGCGCCCGCGCGCTGGCCCCCGGCACCCTGCAGCACCCGCTGAGCGGCACCGCGTCACCCGGGCGTCTGGAGGGGGAGCTGGGGGCATCGGCAGGAGCACCCAGCACCCCAAGGACCAGCACCCAGCACGTCCGGGACGCCCAGCTCAGACGTGGTCACAGCAGCCTGCACCACAGGGCCCCCCAAAGCCAGGGGCCAGCACCTCCCCAGGGACCCCACAGCTCCCGGCACCCCAAGAACCAGCACCCCAAGAGACCCTCCAGGTCCCAGCACCCCAGGGAGCAGCCCCCCAATAACCATCACCCCCAAGGGACCTCACAGCTCCCTCAGCTCCCAGCACCCTAAGAGATCCTACAGGTCCCAGCATCGCCAGGTTCCCCAGCACCCATGGGACCCTTCTGCCCCTGAGGCAGTCCCCAACACCCCCACTCTCAGTGGCTCTTGTGCAACGGGGCGGGTTGGGGGGTCTGTCCCTTCGTGCAAGGCGCTGGCACACAGGGAGCTGCGCGTGCAAGGGTGGCGGAAGCGCGTGCAAGGCACCCGTGCCCCGCGTGTCGCAGGGTGGGTGGCGGGAACCCCGCATGTGCCCCGGGGCCCGTGCAAGGGACTGTGCCACGTGCACGGGGCACGCCCGTGCAAGGCGCTGGTGCACGGGGCCCATGCACGGGGCGCGCTCGTGCAAAGCGCCAGTGCACGGGGCCGGTGCAAGGGGCCCATGCACGGGGCGAGCTCGTGCAAAGCGCCCGTGCACGGGGCCGGTGCATTGGCCACGCTCGTGCAAGGAGCCGGTGCACGGGGCTCGTGCACGGGGCTCGCTCCTGCAAGGCGCCGGTGCACCGGGCCAGTGCACGGGGCGCGCTCGTGCAAAGCGCCGGTGCACGGGGCCGGTGCACGGGGCACGCTCGTGCACGGGGCCGGTGCATGGGGCCGGTGCACGGGGCGCGCTCGTGCAAAGCGCCGGTGCACGGGGCCAGTGCACGGGGCGCGCTCGTGCAAGGCGCCGGTGCACGGGGCCGGTGCACGGGGCGCGCTCGTGCAAGGCGCCGGTGCACGGGGCCGGTGCACGGGGCCGGTGCACGGGGCGCGCTCGTGCACGGGGCCGGTGCACGGGGCCGGTGCACGGGGCCGGTGCATGGGGCGCGC